CCCTTGGCAGAGTGCTGTGGCATCACAGCTCACAGCAACCTCCAGCTCTTGAGCTTAGGCAATTCTCTTGCCTCAGCCTCCTGAGTAGCTGGGACTATCGGCGCCCACTATAACTCCCAGCTATTTTTTTGTTGCAGATTGGCTGGGGCTGGGTTTGATCCTGCCAACCTTGGTATATGGGGCCGGTGCTCTACTCACTGAGCCACAGGCACTGCTCTGAGTTTTGTTTTACTCTTAATGGTGTCTTCTAATGAATGGAAGCTCTTACCTTTAATATAATACAGTTTATCAGAATTTTCCTTCATGGTTAGTCCATTTTGAAACTTAAGAAATGTTTGCCTAATCAAAAGCCATGAATGCAATCTCTTATTTTATCTTCAGGCTTATTTTACCTTTCATACCTTTCATATTTAGATCTATAGTCTGCTTGGAATCGATATTTTGTGTATGATGTGAGGTAAAGATCAAGGTCTTTTTTCCCTTGGTGGATATCCAATTGATTCAGTACCATTTATTGAAAAGATCTTCCCTTTCCTACTACTCTGCAGGGCCAATTTTGTTACAAATCAAGGATCCCTGTATGCGTGGATCTTTTTGGACTTTCTTTTCTGTTCTGTTGGTCTTTTTATAAGTCTTTATGTCACTACCACACTCTCCTAATTCCAGTAACTTTAGAGTAAGTCTTGATATCTGGCAATCTAAGTCTCACTATGTTGCTTCTTTGAGTGTCTTGGCTTTTCTTGACCTTTTGCATTTCATTGAATTTTAGAATTAGCTTGGCAATTTATGTCCCAAAAACGTGATGGAATTTTAATTCACGAGAGCTATAATATAAATCTATTTGGGGAGAATTGATATATTTAAAATATTGAGTTTTACATCTTCGTAAGGTATCACAAGAATGGAAAAGTAAGTATTCAATGTACTCAATCCTAACATGAAGCCAATAGATGACCTAATACATGCCACACAAGACAAAAACTCAATTCAATTAGTGATGGGGAGAGCCAGGGCTTGTTATGCTCCCATTTAGGGGCACAATGTAAGGGTATACAGTATATTCAATGTACTCAATCCTAACATGAAGCCAATAGATGACCTAATACATGCCACACAAGACAAAAACTCAATTCAATTAGTGATGGGGAGAGCCAGGGCTTGTTATGCTCCCATTTAGGGGCACAATGTAAGGGTATACAGTACACCTCTTGGGTGCAGGACACAACTACAACAGGGACTCTACCTAACAAGTGCAAACATTATAACTTAATTGTACCCTCATATTAATCTGAAATAGAAAATACTGAATTTTACAAAATCCTTGAACATAGTATGTTTCTCCATTTAATCTAATGTTTTACAGTTTTCTGTGTAGAGGTCTTATACATCTTGTGTAGATTAAGTCCCATATATGTGCCGATATAAACAACATCTTTTTTTTTTTTTTGAGACAGAGTCTCACTTTGTCACCCTCAGCAGAGTACTGTGGCATCATAGCTCACAGCAACCTCAAAGTCTTGGGCTCAAGCGATTCTCTTGCCTCAGCCTCCCGAGTAGCTGGGACTATAGGTGTCTGCCACAATGCCTGGCTATTTTGTTGTTGTTTAGCAGGCCTGGGCTGGGTTTGAACCCACCAGCCCTGGAGCATACGGCCATCACCCTAATCAATGAGCTACGGCACCCCCGTATCTTTTTAAAATTTCAATATCTAATGAGATTTTTAGAGGATATATTGGATATATTTGTAAGGTTTATCATTTATATAGAGAGCTATAATTGATTTTTAATATTGATCTCGTATCCAATGACTTTACCAAATTACCTTACTAATTCTAAGAGTTTTTATTCATAGATTCTTTTGGATTTTCTTCATATATAATTATGTCATCTATAAATAGTTGTTTTATCTGTTCTTTCCAATCTTTATTTTTATTTTCCTGCCCTTTTAGCACAGGCCAGTACCTCCAGTGCAATGTTGAACAGAAGACATGACAGGAATATCATTGTCTCATTTCCAATCTTGGGAATATCTTTCACTATTTCATTTAACTGGGATGTTTGCTATAGAACTTTTAGAGACACTTTTTCATAGGTTAAGGAAATTCTCTTGTATTCCTAGTTTGCCAAAAGGGTTTGTTTATTGTTTCTTAAAGTCACAAGTAGACATTTTACTTCATTAAGTGCTTTTATATATCTATGGACATGTATTAATATAACTATATAATTTTTCATTTTTATTCTACTGATATTTATCTTTATTCCTATTGACTGAGTTTGGAGTGTTAAGCCAAACTGTCATTCCCAGAATAAAGTCAGCTTGTCAGGGTTGTATTATTCCATCCATAATAATTATTATTATTATTCTTAGGTAATTATTATTTATTTTTGCCTGGGCTGGAGTGCAATCATATCTCACAGCAACCTTGAACTTCTGGGCTCAGCCAATCATCCTGCTTCAGTCTCCTGAGTAGCTGGAACCACAGGTGTGTGCCACCATGCCCAGTTTATTTTTTAAATTTTTTTAGAGACAGAATCTTGTTGCCCAGGCTGGTCTCAAACTTCTGGCCTCAAGCCTCCTGTCCTGGCCTCCTGAAGACCTGGAATTACAGGCATGAGCCATTGTCAGGAGCCAAATGACGCCAGATGGCCGCCCATCCCCACCCCCAAAAGTGTGCTAACTTTTATCAGATAAGGAGCTGCTTTTCCCTTATCAGACAAGGAGCTGTTCTTCCCAGAGAAGCCATAAAATGTTTCAGACACATCGTTTACATTCCCAGCAGGAGATTGATGCAAGCTCTACCTCCCGCATTCCTCTACCCCACCCCTTGTCTTCTCTGAGTGCTTAAAAACTGACCTGTTACCTCCATTAAATCAGACCTTGACAAGAAATCTGCTTGGTCTCGCTTCCTCTTTCTCTCGCCCATTTCTCTTTCAGGCTGGGTCCCCCTCGCCCCACGAATAACCGTGTCCCGCAGGACGGGACAAGCCATAATTATTTTTGTTAATATTTTTGCATCTATGTTCACAAGAGATTGGCTTCTAATTTTCTTACAAAGTTTGGTATCAAGGTTATACTAAAATCCAAAAAGTTAGAAAGTATTCCAGGCTGGGCATAGAGGCTCACACTCTGGAAGGCTGAAGCTGGAGGATCACTTGAGACCAAGGGTTCAAGATCAGCCTAGGCAGCATAGCAAGATCCCATTTAATTATCTGGATGTGGCCAGGCATGATGGCTAATGCCTGTAATACTAGCACTTTAGGAAGCTGAGTCAGGTGGATCTCTTGAGCTCAGGAGTTTGACACCAGCCTAAGTAAGAACAAGACCTTAGGCTCGGCGCCTGTGGCTCAAGCGGCTAAGGCGCCAGCCACATACACCTAAGGTGGCGAGTTCAAATCCCCAGCCTGGGCCTGCCAAACAACAATGATGGCTGCAACAAAAAAATGGCCAGGCATGGTGGCAGGCGCCTGTAGTCCCAGCTACATGGGAGGCTGAGACAGGAGACTTGCTTGAGCCCCAGAGTTGGAGGTTGCTGTGAGTGTGATGCCATGGCACTCTACCCAGGGGGATAGCTTGAGGCTCTGTCTCAAAAAAAAAAAAAAAAAAAAAAGAACAAGACCTTATCTCTACTAAAAATAGAAAAATTAACTAGGAGGCACCTGTCCCAACTACTCAGAAGGCTAAGACAGGAGGCTCACTTGAACTCAGGAGTTTGAGGTTGCTGTGAGCTAGGCTAACAATATGGTACTCTAGCCTGTACAACAGAGGAAGACCCTATCTAAATTAATTAATTAAGCCAGATATGGTGGTGTACATCTGCAGTCTGAGCTTCTGCAGGATAATAAGGTGGGAAGATCCCTTGAACCCAGTGGTTTGATCTATGATCTATGAACTATGATCATACTACTGCACTCCAGTCTGGGCAACTAGACTTAGAGTAAGATCCTATCTCAAAAAGAAACAGAAAGAAAGAAAGGGAGGGAGAGAGGAAGGAAGGAAGAAAGGAAATATTCCTTATTTTCTTCTTCTCTGGAAGAGATTATATACATTGGTGTTATTTCTTTCTTTCCTTTTTTTTTTTTTTTGAGACAGAGTCTCAACCTGTCACCCTAGTAGAGTGCCGTGGGTCACAGCTCACAGCAACCTCCAACTCTTGGGTTTAAGTGATTCTCCTGCCTCAGCCTCCCAAGCAGCTGGGACTACAGGTGCCTACCACAATGCCCGGCTATTTTTCTGTTGTAGTTGTCACTGTTGCTTTAGCTGGCGTGGGCCAGATTTGAACCCACCAGCCTTGGTGTATGTGGCTAGCGCCCTACCCACTGAGCTACAGGCACCGCCAATGTTATTTATTTCTTAAATATTTGGGTGACAACTCTTTTGATGAGATACTTTAGGACAAGTGCTGTGGACACTTTGGAAAACAATGAAACTGTCGATTTCTGTCAGTGTGAATGCTCTGGTTTTTATTAATTTTCTCCCTTATGCAGTCCTGGCCACCTCACCTTTCCTTTCCACCTGTTTGGGGCTCAGCTAAGTAAACACACAGAACAGCAGTGAGGCCATTTGAGGCCTGAGCCTGATCCTCAGAACTTGACAATCTCTTCTTGCAGCCAGGCATCCTACCCCAGGCCTGCTCAGCCATCTATCTCCAGTCCTCTGACAGAATGAATGCCCTCGACGGTGTTCCCTTCAAGGTGCCCAATGGCTTTGTGATAGACACGGAGCTTCTCCCTGAGCCAGAACTCAGTGTCCCGGCCTGCAGGGAGCTTCTGCTGGGTTCTATGGTAAGTGTGTCTCTGTCTACCTCCTGGGTCTGTGGCTCTCAGGCTGAGCCCCAGGGGTTCTTGTTCTTTGATTTCCTAGGCCTGATATTGTATAGTCTATGGAGTTTGGAAATAATAGAGGAAAATGTGTTCTGTGGAGAAGGCTGGTGGCTGGATGATGAGGATTGTTCAGTGGGTCTTGTTTTTAAGCCTAGGATAATTGGGAGGCTGCTTATGTGAAGTGACTGAAAGTCATTGCAAGGATGCTCCAATTCCTTTCTTCCTATCAGCCTGCTGCCAAGTCTAAAATTTCACCATTAGAATTACTACTTTGGGCTAAGATACATTAGAAGGGATTACTATTCCATGACCCATAGCCCATCTGCCCTGGAGGTAGTCTTGATGTACCCCATGCCTTCTGGGGCCCACCCACTGGGATATACATATTCCATGGGCATGTCATTTATCATGAGTGACCTTAGAATACAAGTAATTAAACTTCCTGGAGGGTCAAGTTTACCTGAAGATTTGGGGTGGGCGGCTATTTCATTTATATACCATGGGACAGGATGCAAAATTTGCATGAATTTTTAAAAAAGCAGAGAACAAGATTGCAAAGAACTGGAGCTGGTGTTGGCCCCCTGTGGCTGGGTCCTCAAACTCTTATGTATTTAATCTCCACTATCTCCAAGCTATTTCATAGAAATTTTTTCATAGAAAAAAATGTGAGAATCTGGTTTGACTCTCATTCATTTTGCCTATAAGGAACCTGAGGTACACAGAAGAGAAATGATTTTCTAAAGTTAGTGGCAATGGCTCGGTGCCTATAGCTCAAGTGGCTAAGGTGCCAGCCACATACACCAGAGCTGGAAGGTTCGAATCCAGCCTGGGCCTGCCAACCAACAATGACAACTACAACCAAAAAATAGCTGGGCGTTGTGGTGGGTGCCTGTAGTCGCAGCTAATTGGGAGGCTGAGGCACGAGAATCGCTTAACCCCAGGAGTTGGAGGTTGCTGTGAGCTGTGATGTCACAGCACTCTACCAGCTCTGTCTCAAAAAAATAAAGTTAGTGGCAGTGACAAGACTAAAACTCAGTTCCTGACACCACATCATTTCATGTTAGCTAAGAGTAGGACTCAGAATATGAGAGACACAAGGCAGGTAAGGTTTGAAGGCAAGGAAAAAAAGGGGGGGAAGTGAAGAAGCGGGTACCGGGAAGTCAGAAGTCAGAAGCAGAAAACAGACAGCTGGAAGGAGAGACCTGGGAGGGGTATGTAGAGGGGCTTGAGTAGCCAGTGGTGCAGGAGACCAGGTTTTGCTTCCTCTAGAGACCACAGAGTTACACTTGGTCAAAGGTTTCCAGAACTGAAAAAAAGCTTTGTAAAGCTCAGAGCACAATGTTTTGGGGCCCACGCTCTAGGGCAGGAGCTCTCACTCTCCTCTGGTAGCCTGTGCTGTGGGCTCTCATTCTGGCACAGAAGAGGAGCTACTTTACTAAGCCGGCAGTAGGGGTGGATTATCACAGCTTTTCCCTCCCTGCTGAGCTCAAGCCACACTTAAGAGGTTATTCTGAAGGTTGCCTCTCCTAGAAGCAGAAATAGGCACCCTGATGCCAAGGCTATGCCCACATGCTGACCCTGGCTCTGTCCCTTAAGCCTATTTCCCTTCCTAGGCCTCCACTTCTTTCAGTGCTGGGCCAAACCAACAAATAGAAAAGACTCCAGGTATGATTTACAGCCTTCTCTGGTAAATCTTCTAAATTCATCAGGATGTATTCTAGCATTTGGAACTTGAAAGATAATACCTCATAGCAACAACATTAAAGATGGTAATTAGATTGTCAGATGAACATACAGTGGCCTGAAGTAGGGTGACCAGATTTTAACATCTGTAAGGCTGGACAACATGGGGGGTGGTGGAGCGGGGCCGAGCAGGGGCGCGGGGCAGGGGCCCGGGCAGGGCAGGGCAGGGCCTGACAACAATGCAAACTTTGATAAGCAGTTCTTGATAATCACTTCTCAGCAATTATTTATTACAGTTTAACATTATAAAATTAACAAAAATAATATAAAACTCATATTCTGGCGAAATAGCCATATGGCGGCCGAAAACCGCATATTCCCTTCTTGTTCTCCAGCCCATTCGTGCATTCTTTCCAAAAATCGGGACTTTTTTAAAACGCTGCGGGACACGGGACAAATCGTTGAAAAGCGGGACTGTCCTGCCAAAATTGGGACGTCTGGTCACCCTAGCCTAAAGGGAAAAACAACAGTTACCATTTATTACCCGCTATGGCACAGGCCTGTGCTAGGTGCTCGGCATACATTTGTTCTCTCTTTTTTATGACGCTCTTTTTACTAAGTATTCCTATACCATAGCACAGGAAACCAAAGCTCCCACCCAAGTGACCCACAGGACTACATGGCTTAGGAATGACACAGACACAGGATTCCAGCACTAGTTTGTCAAAGCCCAAAGCTGGAGTTCATTACCTCCGCTCTGTTGCCTTCCCAGAGTCTCACTATGTGGCCCTTGGTAGAGTGTTTGGTGTTGTTCACAGCAACCTCAAAATCTTGGGCTTAAGTGATTTTCTTGCCTCAGCCTCCCAAGTAGCTGCAACTACAAGCGCCCACCACAATGCCCAGCTATTTTTTGGTTGCAGTTGTTTAGCTGGCCTGGGCCGGGTTCGAACCTGCCACCCTCGGTGTATGTGGCTGGCACTGTAACCACTGGGCTACAGTCACCGAGCCATAAATTTGACTTTTTAGATAGAAATACATTCACGTGTTTAAAACATATATATAGCATACATAATACATATATATATACATATATATATATATAAAACATAATATAAAACACATGTATAGGGGCAGAGCCAGGGTCAGCATGTGGGCATGCCTGTGGCTCAAAGGAGTAGGGCACTAGCCCCATATGCCAGAGGTGATGGGTTCAAACCCAGCCCCGGCCAAAAACAACAAAACAAAACAAAACACATGTATATATCTCAAAATGGTTTAGAGAAGGAATTAACAAACATTTTTAGTTAAGGTCTAAATGGTAAAAAACTCTGTAGTGATGGCTTAACTCTCCCATTAGAGAGGGAGAGTAAGGTGGGGAGAAAGAGACATAGACAATATGACCACAATGGGTGGTTATGGCTGTGTTCTAATAAAACTTTATTTACAAAAACAGGGTAAGGGTAGTTTGTCCCACAGGCAATTTGCCTCCTCTTGGTTGAGTGAAAAGCCTCCTCCTGATATCTTCCCATCCACTATGTTCCCCACCTCCACCCCCTCACTGGTGATCTCTGTTATTTATTTTTAATATATTCTTCCAGAGATTCTTTTTTTTTTTTTTTTTTTTGCAGTTGTTTTGGCTGGGGCTGGGTTTGAACCTGACACCTCTGGCATATGGGGCCGGCGCCCTACCCTTTTGAGCCACAGGTGCTGCCCTACAGGGATTCTTATGTGTATATATAATCAAATACAACCATTTCCTCCTTTTTTACATAAAAGATAATATTTTATATACAGTTCTTGATTTTTTTACTTAATGTATTTTAAGATCTTTTTATATCAGTACATAGAAAGCAGTTTCAAGTTTTTTTCACTGCTTAGTATTGTATTATATTGATATACATATAATACTTTATTGAACTAGTACCCTCTTGATGGACATTCCTGTTGTTCCCAGTCTTGACATAACAAATAATGCTGCAGGGAACTAATGACCATATGCTAATGTCCTTTTGAATTTGTTTGAGTACATTGCCAAATTGCCCTCTATTGACTATACTGATTTACATTCCAACCAGTGTTACAAGAGGGCCTTTTCCTCCCAGACTCCCTAACAAAGGATCATCAGACTAGACCAGTGTTTCTCAACCTTCCTAATGCTGCGACCCTTTAATACAGTTCCTCATGTTATTGTGACCCCCAACCATAAAATTATTTTCGTTGCTAGTAGCAACATGAGGAACTATATTAAAGGGTCATGGCATTAGGAAGGTTGAGAACCACAGGACTAGACAAAGATGGGCAAATGGTAGACAACCTCTGGGTAGGTTGTTTTCTTTGTTGTTCTTTTTTATAATTTTTTTCTATTTTCTTTTTTCCTTTTTTATGTTTCTCTTACTATCTCTGGTCCTTCATTCAGGATCAGTGTAGTTTTAATTTGCCTTTCTTTTCTGATGAGTGAGGTTCAGCAGTTTTTCACATGTTTGAGAGCCATTTGTATTTTCTTTTCTGTGGACTGCCATACTTTTGCCCATTTTTCTGTTGAGCTGTAGGTTTTCTTCTTATCTATTTCTCAGCACTCTCTATATTAGTGAAGTTAGTCCTTTGAGATATGAGTGTTAGTTTGTCAATCTTTTGTTTGTACTTGTCTTTTGACCTTATGGGGTGTATTTGCCCTGCCAGAGACCGTATGAAACAGACCGTGTGTGTGTGTGTGTGTGTGTGTGTGGTAGTAGTAGTAGTAGTAAAATTATCTTTTTTTAAAAAAATGGCTTCTGGGTTCAGCGCCTGTAGCTCAAGTGGCTAAGGTGCTAACCACATACACCTGAGCTGGCGGGTTCGAATCCAGCCTGGGCCCGCCAAGCAACAATGATGGCTGCAACCAAAAAATAGCCAGGCGTTGTGGCGGGCACCTGTGGTCCCAGCTACTTGGGAGGCGGAGGCAGGAGACTTGCTTGAGCCCAGGAGTTGGAGGTTGCTGTGAGCTGTGATGCCATGGCACTCTACCCAGGGGGGCAGCTTGGGGCTCTGTCTCAAAAAAAATGGCTTCTGGATTTTGATCCAAGGTGAGAAAGGCTTTGTCCATCTGAGATTATAAAGGATCTCTCTCTTGTTTTTTCCTAGCACTTTCATGGTTTCACATCATATATTTAAAGTTTTTATCCTTTTGGAATTCCGCCTTGGATAGTGTGAGAACGGATCCAACATTTCTTTCTAGCTAGCTAACATTATTTATTGACTGGTTATTTCTTTTCCTATTTCTTGGGATGCTACCTTTATTATATACTAAATTCCCATATACTAAGGTCTATTTCTGGACTTTCTATTATGTGCCTTTAATCTGCCTATGCCAGTACCCTAGTTTAAATTATTGAGGATTTATAATATATTTTAACAGCTAAGAGCCACCTACCCTTATTTATTCTTCTGTCCCCCGAGTTTTTCTAGCTATCCTTGTTTTTCGCATGAACTTTAGAATCATCTTGCATAGTTCCAAAATCAAGTGTTGGTATTTTATTGAGTCGTATCCTTTTGTCCTTCTGAGACCCACTGAATGTCTCTTTTTTTCCTTGGGCTCTTTCTCTCCAGGTATGCCTTATTAGTTCTGAGATTGTCTTTTCCCCTCCTCTGTACTTCCCAGACCACCTATGTTTGCTCCAGTCTCTTTCTGTAGCCATTTGTTCTGTACATGTTAGAAAACGTTCACTCTGTGCCACGCCTGCCCTGGGCCTTGAAGATACAGAGAGGAACAAGACACTGAGGTCAGGGAGGCACACTGGAGCAGCCACTGTATGCTCCTCTCTCCCAGGCAGGATCAGGGGTGAGAGGGGCCAGTGCCTATGATCTAAGTGTCTGAGTGTCCATATCTGTCTTTGCCTACCTGTCCCTCACCCCAAACGCCAGTTCTCAGAGCATCTCTCTCTTTAGCTGGCCATGGTAGAGCAAATTGCCTTTAAATTTTTAAAAATATTTTCAATGGAGTTTTGTGTTTTCTGTTCTTCATTTTAAAGTAGGAAACAAGAATATTTTATTTTTGCTTCATTGTATAAACTCTCAAGTTAGATTATGTGGATTCCAGATTGCTTTTTTAGGTGGCCTGATATTAGTGGCGAAAGTAGTAGTGTGGACAGAGGAAGACCAGCTCAGCCACCCACCACCAGCCTGTCCAGCAAATTAAATTTTCTGAGCCTCATTTGCATAATCTGTAAATAGGGATGACACTAGAACAAACTAAGTAGAGTTCAACAATGATTAGCAATTATCACATTTCCTGGGCCCTAAAGTAACCTCAGATGGCAGCAAAGGGTATGGGGACAGGTATTACTCATAGGTTTGTCTGCCTGGACAGATGTCCAGGACTGACTGTCCAATGGCAAAGGTGCTGGAGTCAGGTGAAAGCGTCTTCACTAAGTAACTAGTTTCATTGAAGAATATTTTTAAGCAGCTGTTTATTGTTCAACCACACGCTGAATGGCAAGGGATTTAGATATTGGATTTCACTAGATTTCATAACATTTACTAATTTCTCTCCAGAGTTTGCCATTAACTGTTTTTGATACCAATGGGCCACAGGACTAGCTAAAACCAAGGGGTGGTGGCAGCCCTGGGCTGTGACGGATGCCCAGGGTTCAGAATCGGAAGTTGTCCAGACCTGTGGAGTTGCCCGCTGAACAGGGTTCCCCAAATCTTCGTCACCTTCTCTCCGCAGCATGACTTCAGCCTGGAGAGGAGGGCGCTTTTCTGGGTGGAGGCCGCCGTCCGGGGATCCTGCCCGTACCAGTGCGGTGACCTGGGAATCTCATCGGCCCCTCCGGCCTGGCTCTTGCTGGTCAGTCCCGAATACCAGCTGGCGCCTGCTCCTGTTACTATCAAAGACCCAGAAGCCGGACCCCAGGAGTGGCCAGACGAGGAGCAGGACGACGACGACGATGCGAATGAAGAAGGCTCCTCTGCCAGCGAGGAAGAGCCGGGCTCCTGCAGCCCCGACCCCGGCTCCCCCGCGGGTGGTGGCCCGGGCCATCGCCTGTGCTCACTGGACGTGCTGCGCAGCGTGAGGTCGGAGCTGGCGGGGGCGCGGCGGCGGCTCTCCGAGGGCAGGCTGGCTGCCAGTCCCCGCGCGCTCCTGCACTGCTTCCGCCGTCACCGAGCGCTGAGCCTGTGCTCCGGGCCCACACTGCCACCACCGGGGCCCGCTCCCCAGCTCCCCAGCGCCTCAGAGCCGCCCCCAAGGCCCTCCACGGCCGGGGCCATGCCTCCGCTGCGGAGCCACAAGCCCACAGTCGCGGTGAGGACTGTGGCCCGCCCTTCTGTCCTTCCTGCAGACCTTTGCCTGAAATAATCCCTGTTCAGACGCCCCCATTACCTCTGTTTCCCTCGGTACGTCCCTTGCCTCTATTAGGACGCCTGTGACTAGTATTGTCATTTTCCAGTCTGTCTCTTCCAATGGAACTTGAGTTCTTTTAGGGATTGGATTGCAATTTATGTTTGTTTCCAGAGCACCCCCTCAGCAGACTTGACCTATAGGGGGTGCTCAAGAATGTCTGTTGGATTAATGAAAGCTACTGAACTAGATTAAGAGTCCCGTTGGGTGAGGTTTGCTGTAGGCTGAGTGAGTGGGAGACTGGGTAAAGGAATGTCACAGCACAGTTATTTCCTGCCAGACACTATTGGAAGAGAGAGGGTCAAAACCCAGGACAAATAGAGTTGGCTGAGTGGGTGTGGGACCTTATCAGTCCTGTGAGGTAGCTTCTGTGAGCTTCTGTGGTTGCCTTAATTCTGTAGATGAGTAAACTGAGTAACAGTGGAGATCAGGGTCTACACCCCTCCAACCCTCCACAATATCAGCTCCTTACTCCGTGTAGAAAGGGGTACGCAAAGCTACCTTTTAAAACGTCCAGCCCAACTGGGTTTCCCCTCCTATAGTAACTGACATGTCAGCCTGTCTGAATTTCAGTACCTCAGCCCGTACACCTGCCTGCCACCTCTAGGGGAGGCACCCCAGCCTGTCAACACAAACAGATCACAACCTGACACTGCAGCTGACCTGCTGTCGGCCCTGAGCCAGGAGGAGCAAGACCTCATTGGGCCAGTGGTGGCCCTGGGATATCCCCTGCGAAGGGCCATTGTGGCTCTGCAGAAGACAGGGAGACAGAGCTTGAGCCAGGTGAGTGGGGGACCCAGAGCCAAGAGGCTGTGAAGCTGGAGCCAAGTAAGTGGCCATATGGTTTTCATCTTTAACTGGAAGTTTTGTTTTCTTCTCTTAGAGGGAGAACCTCAGCCTGGCCTTAATCATTAGGGTTTGTAAATTTCTGGACCCAAATACTTCCTCCCCAGCAGGACTTTTTTTTTTTTTTTATCAGGAATGCCCACTTGATTAGTATTGGTATTCTACTCTTGTCCTGAACCCTGCCCCAGATACAGGGGGACTGGAGCTTTGAAAAGCCAAAAATCTCTCCAGAACTGCCCAATAGAACTTTCTGTTATGAGATAAATATTTTATATCTATGCTGTCCAAAACAGTGGCCTCTCGCCATGTGTGGTTACTAGGAATGTGGCCAGTGTGATTGGGAAACTGAATTTATATTTTATTTAATTTTAATTGATTTAAATTCAAATTCAAATAACTACATGTGGCTAGTAGCTGCCATATTGGATGGTGCCACTCTAACCACTTCCCTCATTGAATAGTTTTATTCAGACCCACATCCATCTTTTTCCCATTTCATTTACCCATCCACCCATCTAATCAAGAATATTTATTGGGTATTTCCTGCGTATTTATATACAGCTAGGAGATATTGAAAGAACCAAGGTACATACAAATCAGTGTTGTAGGTTGGGTCCCCAGAAAACAGATTCAGATGGAGTTTGGCATACAGGGTATTTAGTAAGGAGTTCCTTGGGATCAACTCCTGTGGAGGGGATGGGATAAAGCAGGAGTAGGTAGAGGGAAATGCTGAGCAGTAACGCAGGCCCAGCGATAGCATCAGCCACCTCCACAGCTCTGGAACATCTCTGGCCCTTTAGAGTTGTCCTGGGTGGGCTGAGATGGTCAGACCCTTGCCTCAACAAGGTATTGCATGGGAGAAGCGGATGTCTGGAGTTAAGGAAATCTCTGAAGGGTATCTCCCAGCTCTCTCAGCATTTGAAGCAACAAGTCTTTAAATAAATGTGTATATGGAAAGTATATTACAGAGCCTACCAGGTTCTATTCTCAAAGAGTTTACTGGAAGAATGGTGGACACTCAAGATGGCCTAAAAGGGTAGCACTCTAAGCCACTCCAATATTTGAAAGCAGACTTCTTCCCCCAATGTAAGCCAAAAATGTTGGCATATCTGCAGGGGAGTGAGGAACCCCAAAATGCCTTTTAAAAGGCATTGCTGACAAGATGTTGAGAAGCAGTAGGGGTACGGATGCTATAGGGTTATTTTTGTCATCTATTGCTGTATAATAAACTACCCCCAAAACTTAGTAACTTAATACAACAACCACTTTTTGCTCATGATTCTCTCAATTGGCAGTTTGGGGGTTGGCTCAGCTAGGTAACCTTGAAACTAGAGCTTATCTCACCTCTAATGTGAGTACAGTTTGGTGACTCCATTGGGGTTAAATGGTCTAAGATGACCTTACTTGAAGTCTGGTGGCTGGTAACACTTATCAGCTGGGCCATGTATCTCCAACAAACTAGCCTGTTTAGTTCCAAGCATGCAAGAGTGAAACCTGCAAGGCCTCTTGAAGCCTAGGCTAAAATTATGTAGTCACTTTCACCCTATTCTACTGGTCAAAGCAGGTTTTAGACCATCCCAGATTTATTTATTTTTTAAAGAGACAAGCCTTATTATGTTGTTCAGGCTGGTCTTGAACACATGGGCTCAAAAGATCTCCCCACTCGACCTCTTAAGTATCTGGGATTACAGGGTTCACCACTACAGTCATTTGCTTGGCTTCCAGATTTAAAAGGCAGAAAAATAGACTCCACCTCTTGATGGCAGGGACTTCAAATAATTCATGATCATTCTCAATTTACTACAAGGAGGTTCTAGTGATCAAGAAAGGCTTCATTAACCACATTCCTGCAGCTGGATAAAAAAGCAAAGCAAAGCAAAGAAAGAGCTTTTGGAAGTGGCAAGCATGGAGCTGGACTTCAGGAATATATAAAATCTGACTTTGAAGGAAGAAGAGATATTCCAGGCAAGAGGGACAGTGTGAACAAAGGGGTGGAGGCAGGAAGGAAGTATTTAGGAGCCCCTGATCTGACCAATCTTGCTGGAGGAGAAGATGCATGAGGCAGGCTAGGGGGAAATGAGACAAGAGGAATTGGAGGGCCAGACCGAAGGTGTCTTGAAGGCTGAGCTGACAATTCGATAAATGTCCCAGTAGGCAAAAGGAAGGCATGAGAGGACTGTAAGCAGAGGGGTTTGGAGGTGACACTGAATGCCATTACCTGCACTCCCGTCACTCCACCTGAATGTAACATCCCCGTTGTGGTGTTTTCTAAACATCAGAACTCTTTGTGGTTGGAAAGAGTCCCAGGGTAGCCAGCATTTATTCCTCTTTCTTCTGTCCTTACCACCATCAAAGGGCTGTATATCTTCTCCATAATCACTGATGACTGCTGAATGGTGGGTCCCTAAGGTCCAGAGCTCCTGCTCTTGGGGGAGGAATGGCAGAAGGAGAATGACCTTGAAACTGGAGCCAAAAGCAGGATGTGTTGCTTCCAGGTTGGGGTGAGGTAGAGAAGTGTACCTGGCCCCTTTACCCACCCACTCCTTCCTCTGCTCTACTCTGGGTTCATGGCTCATGCCCCGTTTTAAAGGAAAACTTCCAACATAGTGACCCCCATGTGACTAAAATGAGTGGGGGAGGGGTTGCTAACATTTATTATACAGTTTTTCCACACCAGTCCCTCAATATGAGACTCTACAATTAGGTCTTCTCAATTATGCAAGGTTAATATTACTTTTTAAAAAATTATTTTTTGAGACAGAATCTCATCTGTTGCCCAGGCTACAATGCTGTGGTGTCATAGCTCACAGCAACCTCAAACTCCTGGGCTCAATCTATCCTCTTGCCTCGACCTCCTGAGTAGCTGGGACTATAGGGGCCTACCATAACACCTGGCTAGTTTTCCTATTTTTAGTAGAGATGAGATCTCGCTTTTGCTCAAGCTGGTCTTGAACTCCTGAGCTGAGCTCAAGCAATCTACCTACCTCAGCCTAGAATTATAGACATGAGCCACTGTAACTGGCCAATTTTTTTTTTTTTTTTTTTTGATACAGGGTCTCACTCTGTTGCCAGGGCTAGAGTGTCATGGCATCATCATAGCTCACTGCAACCTCAAACTCCTGGGCTCAAGCAGTCCAAAGGGCTGCTGAATGGTGTCCTGGCTAATGTTTTAGCTGTCCTGGCTAATCTTTTAATTTTTTGAAGAAATGGGGGTCTCAGTATCATCTAGGCTGGTCTCAAACTTCTGGCCTTGGCTCGGCGCCTATAGCTCAACTGGCTAAGGCGCCAGCCACGTACACCTAAGGTGGCGGGTTCGAATCCCCAGCCCGACCCGCCAAACAACAATGACGGCTGCAACCAAAAAATAGCCAGGCGTTGTGGCGGGCGCCTGTGGTCCCAGCTACTTGGGAGGCGGAGGCAGGAGACTCGCTTGAGCCCAGGAGTTGGAGGTTGCTGTGAGCTGTAATGCCACGGCACTCTACCCAGGGGGACAGCTTGAGGCTCTGTCTCAAAAAAAAAAAAAAAAACAACAAAAAAACTTCTGGCCTTAAAAGATCCTCCTGCCTCAGCCTCCCAAAGTGCTAGGATTACCGGCATGAACTGCAGCACTCAGTGGATTGCTATTACTTTCCTGCCGAGGAAACTGAGGCCAGGGAGGTTCATATAGCCAGTCAATGGTAGCAACAAGGTTGCGACCAGGCTGGCCTAACTCTGAATCTTGGTTGTGCAGTGCTTTTTTTCTCTCATTTTCTGTGTGAGAACCTCCTAGGACACCATTCCAGGCTGATATGAGATTTAAGAGCAAATCTAAAGTTGCCCTTACGTTCCTTCAGCTGCCACTGAAAAGCCAGGGCCTTGGCCAAGAAGCTGGCCAAGATGGCTGTGAGGGGCCAGGTCCACAGTGGGCTCTGACATGCCTCCTCAGTGCCTCCAGGCCCTATGACAAGGCAGAGGTCTCAGACCATCTGGTAGAGGTCTGAAGATTAGTCAGAGTTAACATAGGGCACTGGGCTCCCAGTGGGTGGGCTGCATAGATTTCACTGCATTGGGAACACTATGTTTTCAGATGTAGACTAACCACCTGGCTGGTCCCCTGGATCTCTGGGTAATCTTCTTCCCCAGCAGGCAGCCAGGTGCCAGGCCTGAGGGGTAGACCCAAGGGGCCTTTGGATGATTTCATCTATCCTCTCCCACCAAATAAGTATTTCTTTCATTCTATGAAATTCTATTAACTGAATAACTCCTGTAAGTTCAGATTCCTTCTCCCACTGAAGGACACACTGCAGTAAATCCTTTTGGGCTGGGGAGGAAGGGCTTCAGGTATTGGAGACAGGGCACTTAGAGTCAGGGAGAGAAAAGAGACACAAAAGATAAGCTTTGTCTGTCACTCCTTCATTCCTGCCAGAAGGCTAAGCAGCAGAATCTTTCCAATGCAGACTCCCAGGCCCTCTCCTGAAGGGTCCAGGCAGTGGATCTGAAGTGGGCCCAGGGGACTATATTTTTAAAAGATCTGCAGATAGTTCTGATATCCAGACTGGTGTGGTATGGGCTGAGGTCAGTTGTCCCTGTTCAGTGATACTTTGGTACACATTAGAATCATCTGGAGAGCTATAAAAAATCCCAATGCCCAGGCTACCCCCCAGACCAATTTTTATCATGGCCTGGGAGCTATGAGGCCTAGGCATCAGTAGTTTTGGTGATGGGGACCAAAACTAATGGGCAAGGTATTAACTGAGAGGTTGGGCGGCTGACCTGGCCCTTAATTCTGGGACCCTGAGCAAGCCACCTTGCTGACCGGGACTTCAGCTTCCTTAACTTGGTCTTGGGTGAGTGACTTTTCAAAACATCCTCAGAGCACGGTCTAGATGTCCAGGCAGGAGTGCTGGACCCCAGGCTCCCAGGCCCCTTGGCCCCACTTCTCCCAAAGCATCTCTGATCTTATCCAGTTCCTGTTGAAGCTTCCTTATGCTTGGGCAAATAGTTTAGGAGCTAAAACAATTAGAAAATGATTAGTCTAGATGATCCGTGCTTTCAGCCTAGCTCTGAAGGTCTGCAGAAACCTGACCTGTTCCTTCTCCTCACATAGCCGTAATTCTTACAGTCGGGAGACTTCATTTGGCACCCACTGCCTATAAATCCTGCCTTGATGTGCCTGGCACTGATACTGTCCCGTATCTGGTTTATCTCCCCCACTAAGCCGTGGGTTCCTTGATGTAGTTCTTACTTCATTTTATAAACATAGCGTACATTTATTGAGCTTCTTCTACCTGCCATGCTGGGTGCTTGGAGATACAGTGGTAAATAAGACTGAAATAAGCCTTCCCTTGTGGAAGGAGAAGTTAGTGAATGAGAAAGATGAGAAGCTTAAGGGAAGCAATTACAGAGTGAGATGTGCTGTACAGGGGAAGCACAGGGGACAAGGACTGAGGGGCAGGGAAGGGGAAAGAGGCTGGGCTTCGCTGAGGGGGCTGCATATGCGAGGCCTGGAGGGCTGAGGGAGGAGCTGAGGCTGTGGGCAGGTAAGCAGGGCTTTGAGTCCTGGCAAGGAGGCAGCTTGTTATAAGGGTAAAGTAGCCCCTGAGGACTTTAACAGGTTTTCAGCCCTGTGGGATCCTCTCTGCACCCCTTTCCAGAGAATAGGCGCTCAGGGAATCCCATATGTCAGATGTGACCGGGGAAGGGGCGGGGGTGCACAAATGTGGATGGTGAACAGGTACCTTCATACAAGTGGGTGCTCACCAGGGAGGGTGGGTGGTGCGGGTGTGTAGGAATGCCTGGGGTGGTAGGTGACACACCTTTCTTTGAAGCCTGTCCTGCTCCCCACTTAGGTTCCAGGAACACTCTATCCCATGCTGATAAGACTTCTCCTGGATTGTAGCCCCTAGCTTGGTGAGGACCCAGTGTCCACCTGTCCCCAGGTTGTCAGAAGAGGCCTCTGTTCCTCTTCTGTTGGCTTACAGGTCTCTGTAGCCCCCTGGCACGAGGTGGGTTGCCCAGTGAGCCTGGCCCTGAGCTCAGGCCCTTGGAGTGCCCGCTCCGCCTGCTGCTCTGCCACTCTTCTCACCACCTCTCCCTCTCTGCCCCCTTCCTGCCCAGTTTCTCAGCTACCTCAGCGCCAGTGACCGGCTGTTGCATCAGGGCTATGAGGAAGGCCTGGTGGAGGAAGCCATGGAGATGTTCCAGTTCTCTGAGAGCCAGGTCAGCAGGGCCTTTTGCCAGGGTCCCAGGGCATAAGAGGGATGGGGGTGCAGAGCCAGTCTGTGGGCCTCTCAAGAAAAAGTCTGCTTGCTTACCCTTAGGGGGAAGGAGAGACAGAAGGCCAAGAGGAGCAGGGGCTTGTTTTATTTAACTAAATCAACACAAGTATTACTGAATGCCCACTCTTTGTCAGACACCCAGATAGCAGCCACAGGCAGTGTAAAGATGCTTGAACTCAGGGAGTTTGCCACCCATCCAGAATGCATACAGGGCTGTGCCCAATATTAAATTCTAAGTGCCTGCTGGATGCTTGGAGTCCTGTACAACTTGCAGAGCAGCTCTTCACAGAGGCTGAGGGGGACAGAAGGGTGGGCAACATGCCCAGGAGGAGAGAAGGTGGGAGGTGAAGTTTCAAGCCCCAGGGTCAAAAGAGGAAGGAAGGCAGAGGCTGCACCGTGAGTCCTGGCTGTGTCTGGGGCACAGAGAGAGCTCCAGCTGCACATGCTCTGGGCACACTGTGCAGTGTCTTCTTCCTGCCCCCACCCCAGAGCACAGCTGGGACAGAGCCCACAGCCAGGCTGGGCCTTCTTTCCTTGGGAGAGGAATGTGCTGCCCAGAGTCATGTCCCTGGCTGGGGGAACAATAGCTTATTGGGACTAGGCGCTACAGTCACTGGGACGGGGGCTCCCCAGGGCTGAGGCTGCCCTTGCAGAGCCCCTAGTGCCCTCCTCCCTCCCTTCTCTTCCCCAGGCAGGGGAGTTCCTGCGCCTTTGGGAACAGTTCAGTGACATGGGCTTCCAGCAGGATCGGATCAAAGAGGTGCTATTGGTACATGGCAACCGTCGAGAGCAAGCCCTGGAGGAGCTGGTGGCCTGTGCCCAGTGACTGCTGAGCACTACTCAATGCCTGTGCATCCCTGTCCAGGGCCAGACCTGGCAATTCATCCTACCTGTATTATTAAAACCAAGTAAAAATAACAAAGCGATGCATGTTACTTAATATGAAAATGCAAACAGTGCCATGGGTGGGAGTAAACACCAAAAGAAGCAGCTGGATAAAGTTGGAAGTGGTTGCCTCTGGGGAGGGGCAGAAGGCAGAGCTGGGCAAGGAACTGTTTTTCATACAAGCCTTGTAAAACTATCTGTATTTGAGTCTGTGCATTGGTAACTCTGATATTAAGAAAATTAAAATAAATAAATGATGGGCACCTCTTTTGAGCCCTGCATCTTATTTTGGTATGGAAAGACCATTGAACTATAGGTCAGAAGACAGGATTTCTTTTCCTTTTTTTTTGTTTTGAGACAGAGCCTCAAGCTGTCTCCCTGGGTAGAGTGCTGTGGCATCACAGCTCACAGCAACCTCCAACTACTGGGCTCAAGCGAGTCTCTTGCCTCAGCCTCCCAAGTAGCTGGGACCACATGCACCCACCACAATGCCTGGCTTTTTTTTTTTTTTTTTTGGTTGCAGCCGTCATTGTTGTTTGGTGGGCCCAGGCTGGATTTGAACCCACCACCTTAGGTGTATGTGGCTGGCACCTTAGCCCCTTGAGCCACAGGCACCGAGCCATGAAGATAGGATTTCTTATGCTATTTCTATTCATGTGAGGCTCAAGGCCCCTTTGGGCCTCAATTTCCCCTGGAAAAGTATTGAGATTTGACCATGTCAAATGTTTCCAGACAGGGTTACTATCCATTATAATCCCTGCAGAGTTAATTAGAGAGGCCTGTGCCCTGGATATTCTGATTCAGAAAGCTCATCTTGGCAGCCCCCCAGGAATCTATTTTGTTTCATGCAGGAAGCTCTCTGGGGAATTCTTTACAATGTAATTAGTCCATGGCCAGCATGTGGGACCCTGGGGACCAGCCAATCTGGGTCCCCTTCTGCTTTGACAATCAATGGTCCTGTATCAGTCTTTCCTTATTTGGGAGAGTCGGGAGGTGGAGCCCAGAGTTGTCTCCAGTCACTCCAGGCCTATCCTCTTTAGTGCTTTGGTCCCCAGCCCCTGGGACATGGACCAGTACCAGTCTGTGGCCTGTTTAGGAATTGGGTCACACAGCAGGAGGTGAGCAAGTGAAGCTTCATCTGTATTTACACCCATTGCTCACATCACCACCTGAGCTCTGCCTCTTGTCAGATCAGCTATGGCATTAGATTCTCATAGGAGCGTGAACCCTACTGTAAACTGCACATCTGAGGGATCTAGGCTGCGTGCTCCTTATGAGAATCCAATGCCTGATGATCTGAGGTGGAGCTGAGGTGGTGATGCTAGTGCTGGGACCATCTAGTTGCAGGAAAACTAGCTCAGGACTACAAGTTTGGGACTAGAATCCAGGTCTCCTGAGGCTTATCTGACTCCTCGGTGCTTTCCACTGAGCCTCAATGCCTGCCAACTTGAAATCACATTAAGTTTGGCCTTAAAGCTCTGCATTATGGTGAGTTAGACACGTAATTATTTCATTATATAATAAAGTGTGCAATAAATGTAATGTACTTGAGTCATCCCAAAACCATTTCTTCCTTCTCACCCTAGTCTGTGGAAAACTTGTCTTCCATGAAATTAGTCCCTGGTATCAATGCTTTAGAGATGACCTCCAACGATTGAAGTGACCAGTTTCTGGAGGGCTATGACTCAGGCAAGCAGAGTCAGAAGCCAAGACACTTAAGCCCCTGCCCTTCCCAGAAGACCTTGCACAAGAACCTATGGTGAAAACCACAGAAGCAAAGCCTCTCGGCCCCCTCTACCCTGTAAATAGGACTGGACCTGAAGCTGAGGCCTGTAAAAAACAAACAGAAACTTCCACATTTCTCAAGGCTTCAACCCCGGAAAGCTTGTTGTTTGAACATGTTGTGGAGACTTCTGCAAGCCTTCAAGTTTGGGACTAGAACCCAAATCTCCTGAGGTCCATCTAGCCCCTCAGTGCTTTCCACTGAGCCTCAATGCCTCCCAACTTGAAATCACATTAAGTGTGGCCCTAAAACTTGCCTTGAATAACTTGTAGGCAATGCAAATCTATTTGAGAAAATGGCCAAGATGGCATAAAGCTGGTCATGTGTCTGTTGCCAAAAATAAAACTGTACTTGGAAAAGATGGTAATATTAAAGTTAATTCTTAAGATGCACTGCTAGGTCCAAAGCTATTGTGTTTATTTATTTTTATTTTTTTAGACAGAATTGTACTACGTCACCCTTGGTAGAGTGCTGTGGCATCATAACTCACAGCAACCTCAAACTCTTGGGCTTAAGCGATTCTCTTGCCTCAGCCTCCCAAGTAGCTGGGACTATAGGCACCCGCCACAACGCCTGGCTATTTTTTTGTTGCAGTTGTCATTATTGTTTATCTTGCCTGGGCTGGGTTTGAACCAGCCATCCTTGGTGCATGTGGCTGGCTCTGTAAACACTGTGCTACAGGCACCAAGCCACTATTGTGTTTATGATTAAGGTAATCTGGTCTCAGTTCACCACTTTACTAAGTCCTCTTGATTAGAGGTGACCAGTTAGCAGCCCCTCACCCATCCATTACTGCCAGCCTACCCCCACCTCCTCCAAACCTTTCCATTCCTAGAAAACCATTGCTTGATTAAAAATGCGACATCAATGAGGAAATTAGTTTAAAATATTTTTTAGGAGGTCTGCTAATGTGGTAATTTAAGGAATGAACTCTCAAATCAGATCTGGGCTGAAACTATAACCTTATCAAGAACTAGCTGGGTGACCCTTTGGAAGTCACATAACCTCTCTGTGCCTCTGTATCTTATCTACAAAACACAGATACTGAAACTTTCCAATTGTAATTGGAGCAGGATTGTGTACAGAAAGATTATATCTAGTAGCTACTTACTTAATTATACATATCTATAACCTTCCTCATTCCATAATCACTACTGCCTTTACTCTGATCATCCTCCCCACTGTTTGGCTAACAGATCTCCAGCATTCATAATCAAACTCAGAAAACCTGGAAAAAGCTTTCCGCCAGTGACTCAGCCTTTCTGATCAGCAGAATTCAAGAAGCAGAAGACTTGAATCTTCAGCGGGAACAGAAGATTCTGGGTGTGCCACCTGGAAGAAGGGCAATCTCTGCAGTTAATATTAATGGTCAGGTCACTGCCCTTGGTGGCTTCTTGAAGCCACACTCAACTGACCTGAAGGCATGGTCTGGACAAAAGGACCCCTGGAGAAGAGGCCAGGAGGATGGTGAAGTCCAGCCTCCATGCAGCACACCAAGGCCTGGGTCAAGTGTGCAAAGTGAAGAAAATTCTGCCTTGGTTCTTGCTCTCCTTTCTGACCTCTATGCTTTTCTTTCATGTGTCTGCATCATGCCCTCTCAGAGGCCCAGTGCCAGCAAGTTGAAGGCGGCCTGATGACTGACAGCAGGGATGTCTCATAAGCCATTTCAGGCTAAGACCACACGTTCTTTGTGTGTTCCTTTCCCAGGGAATTTGCCCATTGTCTTCTGTCTAGTTGACCCTCTACCTTGTTCTTAGAAAGACCCTGGTGATTACCAGGGAAATTATCCAGGATAATTTCCCATCTTAAGAGCCTTAACTTAATCACACCTACAAAGTCTTTCTTATCATGGAAGGTAACGTAGTCTGGGGTTCGAGGGGTTAGGATGTGGATGTCTTTGGAGGGCCACTATCTAGCCCTACCAAAGAGAGGCACTGCTTAGCCCAAAACAATACTTGACTAATGGTGGAATTTTAGGCAATCACATAGGGAATTTTGTCGTGTCTTTTATCTGTATTATACAAGGAACATTTCTGTAAAATTTAGGACAGAATAACAGCAGGTCGGAGCCCCCCGTGTGGGACTCTGAGTTTCTACCCCTAATTGCTGCCGTGTGAGGGAGGCAGCCCCTCCTAAGGTCAAGGCCTTAGGCAAGGCTGGGCCCTCGCTGGCAGGCTGGAGCAGCACAGCTGGCACCACTCCTGTCTCACCTCTGGTAGGAGCCCCGCTGCTCTTGCTTCACTTTGATTCAACTTTCTGCAGCTGACAACATTCTCCTGGCACTGGAAGCAATGCCAGCTGAGGGGCTGCCAGAGCCTCCTCTCAGCCCTAACCCACTCTGGGCATAGAGGAGGAAGACACGCTCTCAGGTCACAGCTGGCCTCTGACAATCAACTGGAGAAGTCAGGAGCCCCTTCCCTTTCCTCCCCCTCAGTCTCCCCCACATTCCAGCTGACCTCTAGCTGCCCTGTCCTATCTGGAGATTGAAGAATTCCTTTGTTGACCTCTTTGGGGAAACTCTTTGCCTTCTTTTTTTCCTTTTGAGACGGGGTCTCTATTGCCCAGACTGGAGTACAGTGGCCTCCTCATAGCTCACAGCAACTTCCAACTCCTGGGCTGAAGAGATCCTCCCGAGCAGCTGGGACTACAGGTGCCTGCCCTCATAACCAACAAATTTTTTTAAAAGTTTTTGGAGACAGTGTCTTGCAATGTTGCCCAGGCTGGTCTTGAGTTCCTGAAGTCAAGCTATCCTCCTGCCTCAGCCTCCCACAGTGATTACAAGTGTGAGCCACTGTGCGTGCCCCCATCGCCTTTTAAAAGAGGACTTGGGGACAGCAATGCTTACTTTTGGATAATGGTTCATAAATGATAGGGTTTTAGGCACAGTAAAAGCCACCATAGGGAAGGGGTGACCATCCATTCTGTCTCAATGTAAAATTCACTAAGAGGAGGACTTGGGGCTTTAGGGAGCTTAGGGAAGAATCTTTCCTAATAAGGGATTTGGGGAGGCTTCTAGAGCTCCTCTTTGGTACAGGACCCCCTGGGGCAGCTTCCCTGTTCCCCCCTGATCCCAAGGGCCAGGCCTTTATTCCTAGACGTGCTGAGGTCAGAGGAATCTTAAACAACCAAGACCCTCCCAACAACTCTCCCTGTCATACACACACACACAGAGTCTGTCTTCAGAGTAAAACTGCCCCAGCACTATGAGGACGTTTGGGGTGTGCGTGCCTTCATATTGAGGACAAAAGTGATCC